TGCCAGGGAAGAGTGTGGCATCTTCTCATTGCTACTAACTCTTGTTAATGTGGGAGTGCAGGACCAGGGTTAGGTTGTAGTCTTGAATCACCCAAAATTGTGCTGCTGCTAGACAATCAGATTGGTGCTCTCTCAGCTTATTTTCAATGTTCTTTGACATTTGGATTATATCAACTTTTTCTTTGACAGAAAAAACTACACACACACATTTAGTTGGAAAGGAGGATTTAAAGCTACCTGGCACCTTTTGCAGCTATACTTGTGAGGCTCAGAATCTGCACTTTCATCAGAGTTGTCATCATTCTCCTCAGATGAGATTCCGATTTTACCAATGAACTCTTCCCTCTGGTGATCATCCATTAGTGCAATGTCCTACACAGAGTGGAGAAGGAGATTTCATCTTATTTAGATCTAATATTAAAAAGTTACAGCCTCAACCCTTCCCACATTGATTAATATACAAAACCAGCAATAATAATGTGAGTCAAAATATTCTCCGATATAATAAAGTCCCTGCCAAAGATACGCTTATTATTTGAATATTAGTGAAAATAGGGACTAAATTGCCGCAGTGTTAAATCCATTCTGTGTTAAAGAAGTTGCACCATTCCATTTAACCACTCGAGTCTTAACTGCATTTCAGACAGTTCAACAGCCACAGGCAAGTCATATCCCCCAAGCGGATCCTGTAAAGCTCCAGGGACTCAGAGAGACTATTTCAGTCATGCCTCCCCTTCCTTTCATAATTGCTTAACAGCCCTGTAGCAACTATAGCAATTGCTTATATGGAAAAGAAACATCAAGAAAATACTCAGTATATTTTAGTTGCCTTTTAATGCTGCTTAGCAGCAAGCAACCAAAAGGAGGAGCAGCAGCACCATGCCTGCAGACCATCAGCAGATGTTCTGTGGATCAGTGTGACAACTGCCTTAATAATAATCCTTCTATCCAACACTCACAGCATCTTTCGCTGAGGAAGGAATCATACCAAAATTCACTTAATGAACTCAACACCCCAGAAAGGAGGCACATGCTCTCATTGCTTTAGGGGAGTGAACTGACACACTATGATTATGTTTCAGAGCCAGTCTGGGACCCAAACTAATCTGCCCCCCTGACTTCCTGTTATCATTAGACAACACCACTTCTATGTAACCTCTCCATTAATGTTTAAAGTGATGGCTTCCTAAATTCTTCTACTTCATAGACTTCTCTTGCCATCCACAGGGTTGAAGATAAGCTGAAAAGGTTTTACATTAAAAACAAAAAACAAAAAAAACCACCACACTTGTTTCTGAGATTCCAAAGGCCAAATTCTGGCTTGAACCAAAGAACGGATATAACAAATGCCTAAAGCAGGGGTGGGGAACCTTAGGCGTGGAGGGCTACCTTTGGCCCCTAAGGCTCAGTACTGGGGAGCCCATGCTAGTGCTCCAGACACCCACCTGCAGGGCTGAAGCACACAATACCTACTAGCCTAGGCCCCCCTAGGCTCTGATGTGCAAGGGGAACGTGGGGAGCAGCTTTCTCCTTCTCAGTCAGGGGCTTCTCACTTTGCTTCTCACTTGTGTGCAGCCCCTGACTGATTTTTCTATGGGTCAGTGGCCCCCGACCCAAAAAAGGTTGCCCACCCTGGCCTAACGATATGTACATACAGGGCAAAGCAATGCATGTAATCCCTCCTGTGGCCAGCATAATCATACCATCTTAATAATTTCTAACAGGTTTCCAATAAAAATACAAGAGAATGCCAGGGCTCAGAATATTAACACAATACCTTAAAATGGACATGAATGTGATCTCTAAGCACATCCACTCTGAAAAATTTACGTCCACAGATTTCACAGGTATATTTCTTGTCTCCGTGTGTGAGGAGGTGTTTGTTCATATTACTCCTGCATGAAAATACCTAGAATAGAAGAATTCTGAAGAATGTTTTTCATGTCATACTTGAGGAGGCATCTGAGCTGCTCATGTTCATAACTTAATTTGCAATTAGGTACAGGAGACATTTAACACTCTTCTACTTGTTCCTGAGCAAGGTAACCTATTGTCTGTTTCAGGCAAGAAAAAGCCCCCATCATCCGTTCCAGCAACAACAGCTGTTAATGAAGTGATGTATGCATCAGTAATCACTAGGGATATCAATGAGTAGTCAACTAGATGATCAACTAGTAAGCCTAGGCTTATCGGTCAATCTTGTTTACTACTTGCATTCCCCCCCCCCCCCCCCCCACGCCCCCTCCCTTTCCAAGGGGGGGGGGGGGG